AGAATATATATATATATATATATATATATATATATATTAGTGCTGACAAAATTATTTCGCTGGCTTCCTCAGCCATTCTCGTCTCCCCTCCGGTCCCTCCAAATTCAGGGCCTTACAGTGGGGAGATATTTGGCTTTCTACAGTACACCATTATAATAAATGTATTTGCTTTGTTTACATGTATTACTAAATATTTTCTATGGCTTAACTACGATCCGAGTTCGCATCCACACATTCCATTGTAGTTCATCGTTCACACTTTATTCACTGAACACCAGCAAGGAGAATTGCAGCAGCTGAATATTACTCTTTACAAGCATTTCCTTGTGCTTAGATTAAAACAGATGCAATCCTGGAAAGAAAGTGCGATAATCTCCCCTGTATTCCTGATGGTAAATCATTGCACAATTTTCTAGCTGAGGTATTTAAGTCCGTCTCCCGTCCACAAAGGCGATTTCATGCAGTAAATAGGGGTAAATGTTCTTTATTTTCATTTGAATATGTTAAGAGTGCAGGAGCAATCTCTAGTGCTCCTAACAAGGCAAGTGAACCATCCCTAATGCTCTGATTTTTCAAACCCAGCCAACAACAAAGTTTAGATTAGCAATATATTTCTAACCAGAGTAATTTTCAAGATCATTAGGCATTTATGTAATTAGTGCCAAATCTATAAGCTTTTATTACGATTATTAGAGTAAAATCAGTATAAATTTGTACTAATTTACTACTGTTTAGACTTGGCTGTCAAAGCCAAGAGCTTCTTATTGTAAATGATAAGTGGGGAAATTAAGTGCAAAATTCTGAACCATTTCTGATGGGCTCGCAAACAATCCGTTTCAATTGTGTTTGAGGCAGAGCAGAATGCCCTTTTCAAGTGATCTGAGCTGATGTTTCTTGTCTCTTGCTTGTATTTGCACAACAAGGAGATAACAGAGGAAAAACATGGAGCACTGGTGCACAATGCAGGCAGCTATTTACAAGTCTGCGCTTGATTAACATTGATTTTTAATCCCGGAGTGATGCAATTAAGATTATTCATTTAGGACAAAAGTATAAAGCAGTGAGAAGAGTGGATGCAGCAGCAAGGCACAGGGGATACTAAACAATACACTGACTTTTTTTTTCTTTTTTTTCCCAGTTATTTTGAATGTGATTGTTAATCAACTGACTGTGGCACAAAACCTAGGGATGGTCGTGGCAGATGCAGGGGGGCTCGTTCCGTTGTCTTCTTGAACAAGAGATGAACAGATAGACAAAGGAGGCGACAGAGCGAGGTCTGTCCACTTTTCTCCCCTACCCCAGCCCTGGCTGCTGCTCCACATGTGTGCTCTGTGCAGCATCACGTTCTGTCTTTTGCAGGAGCTGAAGTGAGGAGCGCTATGCATGAATGAACCCAGGGAGCTGAGGGCAGGGGGCCTAGGACTGGACCTACCCACTGTAATACTTCGTGGACGTATGGACTGCTACTGGCAGGAGATGCAGCTGGACACACCTGGGACAGGTCAGAAATAGGGCGGAGAGAAGAGGGAAGACAGAAAAAAGGAAAATATTAATTGTTAGAGAAGGAGAGATTTAATGGGATAAAAAGAAAACCAAAGGAGGAATGAGAAAGGAAGGTGATATGAGGAGAGAAACAAAAAAAAGGGGAAGAGGTATAGAAAAAAAGAAGTGGGGGAGATGCACCAGAAAGGAAGAGAAAATTAAAGATGAGAAAATGATTAAGGAAAGACAGAGAGTGATATAAATCTAGAAAGCAAAAGGAGCAGAGACAGAAAACAAATAAGTTTGAAGGTTTGTGAGAATAGAAGATCAGAACAAACAAAAACAAAAAAACAGAGGGCACAGGGGGAGAGACAAAGAACAGGGGCACAGGAAGGGGCACAGGGAACATGAGGGAGAGTAAGAGAGCAGGGGTCTCAAGGAGAGAAAGAGAACAGAGGGCAGAGAGGGAAAGAGAGAGCAGAGGGCACAGGAAGAATGAGGGACAGTATGAGAACAAGGGTCCCAAGGAGAGAAAGAGAACAGAGGGCACAGCGAGAAAGAGAGAGAGCAGAGGGCACAGGGAAAAGAGAGAGCAGAGGGCACATGGAGAGAGCAAGAGAACAGAGGGCACACAGACAATAAGAATGGGAGAGGACAGGGGGCCCAGTGAGAGGGAGAGAGATAGGCAGACTGACAAGAGGGCACATGGAGATGAGAGTGGGAGAAAACAGAGGGCACAAGAAAAAAGAAAGAGAGAGAGAGAGAACATAGAGCACAGGGAGATTGAAGGAGAGTAAGAGAACATTTGGCACACATAGAAAAAATGAGATAGAGCAGCGGGCCCAGGGAAAGGAAGAGAGAGAGAGAGAGTAGAGAAAGCAGGGAGAATGAGCGGGAGATGGCAGGAGATGACAGAGGGCAATGAAAAAAAGAGAGAACAGGGGGCACAAGAATAAAGAGACAGAACCCAGGTCACAGAAAAAAAAAGAGAGAATGGACATAGGGCACAGAAAGATTACGAGAGACATAACAGAGCAGACAGGAAAAAAATAAGAGAAAGATCAGGAGGCAAAAGAAATAGTAAGAGAGAGAGGGAACATAATGCAAAGAGGTAGAGGGAATTAACAGAGGGCATAGGGAAAAATAGAGCAAAAGAACAGAGGGCAAAGAGAGGAAAAGAGAGAATTAGAAAGAGAGAATTAGAAAGAGAGAAAAAGAGTGAGAGAGAGGGCAAAGGAGAAAGAGAGAGGTAACAGAGGGCACAGAGAAAATGTGAGATGTAACATGGTAACAAGGGACAGGGAGTATTAGAGAATGGGAACAGAGGGCACAGTGAGTATTGGAGAATGGGAACAGAGGGCACAGGGAGTATTGGAGAATGGAAACAGAGGGCACAGGGAGTATTGGAGAATGGGAACAGAGGGCACAGGGAGTATTAGAGAATGAGAACAGAGGGCACAGAGAGTATTAGGGAATGGAAACAGGGGGCACGAGGAGTATTAGAGAATGAGAACAGAGGGCACAGTGAGTATTAAAGAATGGGAACAGAGGGCACAGGGAGTATTAGAGAATGGGAAAAGAGTGCACAGGAACAATTAAAAAATGGGAACAGAGGGCACAAGGAGAATTTGAGATTGGGAACAGAGGGCACAGGGATAATAGGAAAAAGAGAGCACTGAGCGAATGAGAAAGAGAGAAAACAAAGGGAAAACTGGAGAGAGAGAGAAGGGCACAGGTAGAGAGATAAGGGGGGCACAGGAAGAATTAGAGAGAGGTAGGAATATAGAGGGGGACAGGGAGATGGAAGCGGTAGAGAAAAACAGAAGGGGAGAATGATAAAGGGCAGTAAGAAAGCAAGCGATAAGGAGGAAAAATACAGAGTGAGAGAGGGAGAAACACTCTGTGAGACATAAACATAAACAGGCAAGAATAACATTGTTACATGTCCTGCACATCCAGCATTCAGCACCATAGACAGCGCAGTACTAATCATCTACTGTACACTAGAGCAAAGGACTTCTGCATTTGACTTCCTGACAATTTTTATAGGATTTAC